AATAATTTTACTCTAATCATGTCTTACTTTATCTGATAGGTTAGATACGGCTTAGGAATATTCAATCTTCCTACTAAAAAGAAAAAATGAGTTTTGTAAATTTATGTGATTTAAGATGGGTATGTTCACATTAAATAAAGTGTTTTGTGAATCCCAAATGAAATGTTTTAGGTGAGATAAGAGAGAGTAGGAAAAAGGAAGCTTTGTAACCCTAGGGAACTTGCAATCATTTGCATCTCTGAGACAAATCTTTCAATTATATGTGTATTACCTGTTGACATTACCAAAAATATGCATCATTTCTCCCCCCTTGCCCAGGAATAGTATAGGCCAGAGCAATAGAAAAACTGGTTGGGAAAAACAGAACTGAATATGATGTTTTTTATCGGTGAAAAGTAATGGCTTTGATCTCTGGAATATAATCAAAAGCAGTAAGATGCAGACCTTTGAGCATGTCTTATGTTAGATCACTGTTGGCCCCAGGACACCACTGCCACTTTTTTTCTAAGGCTGGAAGCTACATTTTACATTTTTCAGAATCCCCTTCTCTGTGAGGTTCTGGGGAAGAGTTTGCCAATGTGAAGAATTTGCCTGAGAGTTGGAAGATGGAAATGAAGAGGAAGCCATTGTTTTTCAGAGGTGTTTGTAGCCAGATGCTTGGATAGATAAAAGATTCACAGTGGCTTTCCAACAAATTTTTGAGAATAACTCACTTTGCCTGAGACAGTTGGTGGAAGTTTGTGAAGATTCCCAAATATTACAGCAGCTCCAGAAAGCTTCCGAAAAATGCCTGCTTGGTGCTTCGTGCTGACATCTTCAGCATCAGCCCCTCCAATCTGCAGTGGCTGCTCTCCTGACCTCTACCCTACCTTCATCCAACTATCCTGCGAGCTCCCGATTCTGCATTAAACACCGTATTTCTGGGAGACATCAAGTGGCTTCCATTGTGCTGACTGACTCCTTGTGATGCAGACATAGTCACAGTTAGGATAGAGAAAATATTCAGTTT